CAAACTTTACATGTAATAAGCATAAATTAGTACAAACAAAAATGTGGGTTTTTATGTTTTTTCTTTTTCTTGGCTTTCTCTCACCATAAAGTTTGTTTCATTCTAGCTTTTTCTCTCACAAAAAAGAAACATAAAAGAGACTAAACTGGAGAGACAGACTCTTACCTCAATCAAAAGGTTTCGATTCAATCTTCTTCAAAATTTCTCGGTAACCAATCTGAATCACACTATCTCTCTACCTACTCCCTCTTTCCCTTTCTAAATTCCAGTTTCTTTAGTTGACATTTGACAGGAGAAACAAAAGATTTTTTTCTTAAAAAAAAACAGCAATCATGTAGATATAATATTTGTTTAAAAAATAATTAGAAAGTTAAAAATGGCTGGTCAAGAGGATACTGTGTGTGGACTGCCACACTCTCTCTCTTAAAACTCCTTTAAAAGGAAATTAAAAAAAAAAAAGATGGCTCAAAAAGGGTGTTGAGTTTTTAAGCTTTGACAATTCATAAAGCAAAAGATTGATAGCGGCTAGGCTTGCAAGAAGAGGCATGAACCAGGGCCGAGCTTGTGGGTCAGGAATAACGGACCGGTGGTTCAGGGAAACTGGTCCGTTGGTGCTGAGGTTGTGCTGGTTTGGTACCTCCGGCACTCATGCACTTGCCAGCTAAGTTCAGAACTGCTGCTCCTGGCACTTCCTTCTATTATTTATAGTTTATACAACAAAGTACAAGCACGCTAATACCCTAACGTGTATCCCTTTCTCTCTCTCTCTCTACAAGGATGTATGAAGTGATTTTTATTTTATTTTTTCGTGTGTGGATGTCTTTTAATTCAAGGGAGGAAACAACGCATGAATTTATGTCACACAACTGTTCGAGGAAGGTTTACTTCGGAGACTTGGTAAGGTTGGGGGCTCGAAAGTTGGGGGGACCTGTGACATTTAAAACAAAGACGTTTTTTCCAAGATAGAAACAAGAGTTTACGGGCTAAGTAATGCTAACTTGATAAAAATGTTTTTCAAGCTTATTTAAAAAAATACAATAATTTATGAGATTTATTCAATGTACGCCATTGTCGTGATAACATGATCATCAGACTTAAAACGTTTTTTCACATAGCAAAATGATTGCTTTTCAAAGCATTAGAGTTCAAATACAAGGGACGTATTATTTCATGAAGAAAAAAAATATAATCCGTCCAATCATGCGAGTATTTTGAGTTCCATGAACCCAATAGCTGAAGAAAGAAAATCATTAGTTCTCCATCTTGGATACAAAGTAGCTTGTCAGGAAAATGAAAATGAAAGGGGTGGTGAACTGCTGGTTCTATTGTGGTAGTGGTGAAAATAAAAATAAATAAAATAAAATAAAATAATGCTGACCAAGATGGACATCACACATAGGCAAACAATTTGATCTCGACGTCTCGCAATAAAAGGGATTGATGGAAATTGAATGCAAGATCCCACATAATTTGTGGTGCAATCTTATTTATTTATTTTTTATCTTTGCCCTTTGGCCTGTTAATACGAAGGGATTTGTGGTGCAATTTTATTTATTTATTTTTTATCTTTGCCCTTTGGCCTGTTAATACGAAGGGATTTGTTAGGTTTTAAGCAGAAATGTGCCCTTTTATTTTTTGTTTTTATTTTTATTTTAAAATATATTTATTTAAAAAATGCACTCTGCTTTTACCCTCTGGCTTGTTAATGTAAAGGGATTCATTAGGTTTTAAGCAGCAGTATGCCCTTTTATTTTTTGTTTTTATTTATTCAAGAGATATACAGTGTGTCGCAATTTATTAACAAACACATTCTTATTTATCTACATTTTAGGCGTTTAACCCCCTTTTTTTAATTTCTTTTCAATTCAATTAGATGAATTGTGTAAATAGTAGATACATTCATATAATAGTTGTGAAAGGAAAGTTCTGTTTATTTTTGTGTTTTAAAAATATTTTTAAAATAATTTAAATTTTTTTATTTTTTTCACTTTAAATTAATAATTTTAAAATAATTTAATTTTTTTTATTTTTTTCATTTTAAATTAATAATTTTTTCATTATTTTTATATTATTTTAATATGTTGATATCAAAAATAATTTTTAAAAAATAAAAATATTATTTTAATATATTTTTAAATATAAAATATTTTAAAAAATAATAACAACTATATTTCCAATAAAACTACTTCCAATCAGGCTAATAACGTAGCAGTTGGCAAAAAGTAGGTGGCATGAGTAAGCCCACAGTTGAAAGATGTGCTTTGCAGTAGGATTTCCATATACACTCGTGCTTCCACTGTTGGCAATTATTGTTTGAGCTGGCTTTATAATTTTTGGTAATTTTTTTTTGTTCCTCGTCACTTGCTTAATCTTAATCCTTCAAAATAAATAAAGGTTCGTGACGTTTATCTTCCCCAGTAATTGCCAATGTGTCATACATTCTCACAGTAAATGTTCAGTTACTGTTTTACAACAGCCGACACAAAGACAACAAAGACAAAACCAGTTTAGTTAAGGAAAAAAATACAGAGAAAACATAAAATAAATATCTTTAAGATAATCTTGAGATAAATTTTTACTGCTTTTCGTTCTTGGCTTTTCTCAATCCATTGTTCTTCGTGAGACTCTTACACGAAGTTACTAAAACATACTATTGTGCAGGCAAGTTCTCTTCCTTAACCAAGTCAATTTTCTCATGGCTTCTGCTGCAAACAAAGCTTAGCGAATATCCTCGTACTTGCTTCCTTAGAGAGAACTGACCTATGAAGCAGAGCTTTCTTTTTTGTCTCATCATGAATGGACAGTGGCGCTAAGCTGTAGCATAAAATAATGGCCTTCATGCTGTTTCTACGTGGAAGAGTAGAATTTCCGGTAAACCCAGTATTGGTTTTTCTTCCAATTTTGAGGGTTACTATAAAAATAGAAAAAAAAAAAGTTGGGAAATTATGAACCAGACCTGTTTTGATGGGTTTAAATTAGCCAGACACAATATATTATGCTTCAATATATTATTTTGAAGGTGAAAAGTCTGCCCAAAGGTGTTGTTTTTCTGTTATCTTGTGGACGGCCTCTGCTAATTAAGAACATTCTTTGAGAATTGATATCACTTGAATTGATTATGGAGCATTTTTTGAGAGTCGACTCGCCATCACTTCAATAATCAAGGAGGTTCTGGGGCCAAGAAACCGGCCGCAGCGGCAAATTCGGTCCCTCCCTGTTATCACATCTGTTAGTTCTTACTAGTACGTTTTTCAAAACAAAAAAAAAATTAAAGCCTAAAAAAATAAATTTTAACTATAAATTAAATAATTTTATTTATTTATTATTGAAATAAAAAATATTTAATCTGTTTAAATTAAAATAGATTGACTTGTGAAATTCACCGAGGAAATCTCAAAAACAATAAAAAAATAAATTGTAAAGTTCAATTATAGATTAACTTAATGTTAAAGAAAAAAATTAATGAGAAAATAGTATTTTTTAAAAAATAAGCTAAGTGACTCGAGTTAATAAAGTAAACTCATGACACAAGTCATGCATGTCATTGGATTTAATAATTGTTTTTCATTTAATCATATAACAATAAATCATATTATAATTTTTTTTATTTCAAATATTTATTTTATAAGTGAAAAAAACTAGATAGAAACATGGTGCTAAGATAGTAAAAGTATACCATTGATAACAAATTATAAAATTATATTTTTTAAAAATTAAGGGTCAGTAAAAGCATTAAACTGAAAACACAAATAATAGTCTAGAAGTTGCAAATTAACTCCTTAAACCTGCAATATAACCCATGAACATAATTATATTCAATAATTTTTTATTAATTTTTTAACCCAAAACAAGCCTACATGCATAGAGGCTTGAGAATTTCAAAATAACAGCTCAGTCTGCAAATCTAGATCTATCTTTATATTTTAAAACACAATTAAAGAGGCATGCAACCTTATTTTTTTATTAAAAAAATAGAGAGAGTAGACGACACGTCATCGTCTGCTTTTGTAGAAACTGGCGACCAAAGGTCGCTTAGAAATTTCTATTTTCTTTAGTTTAAAAATCCATTCTTAACCCATTTCTAACCAAAAACACTCAAAACACCTTAATAAACTTATTCATGATCTAAAAAAATAAAAATAAAAAAGCTTTAAAAACCAAAATCAATCCAAACTAAAAAAATTCCTACAAACATATTTGTCTCCTGGAGTAATGAAAAGGGAAAAAAATACCTAAGTAAAACCATTCTCATAAAATGGAACCTATTGAAGTCGATTTCAACCTCTTTGATAATTAGAATAATTGTCAATGATCACTTTCTTTCTATAACCTAAAGTTCAGCATCTTTTCTCCTCTAACAAAAAAAGAATTGAAAAATAAAAAAATAAATTTTTATATTAAAATTGAATTTTGAACAATTAAAGGAACCGATAACCTATAAAACTAAAAAGATAGAGGATGAAAATAATTTTTTTGTATGAAGTTCGAAGCCACCACCTTTTTTACCTATAATTTTCAATTTGGTCCTCTTGATTTAAATCCAACCCTTCCTTCCAAACAAATATGCAATTGTGTGGAAATTTGGGTTTAAAATGACTAAATTATGCTAGAAAAAGTTTGAGGGTCAAATTAAAAATTTTAACTACTACAATTCATAATAATTTGTGAAAGGGTAAATAGTATTTGCATCTATATTATGGTGAACAGAACTTGTATCTATAGTGTTTTTCTCACTTGGCTTAGTTTCAATTAATATGTGAACAAAAGCAAGGAACTTAACACTATATGCCAATAGGCCAATAAAAAGTTTTTATTTTTTATATGTCCTGTTGGAAGTTTCATTTTTGCCCTAAATTTCTTTTGAGAAATTAAAAAAAAAAACTAGTTTGACTCGCATTTCTTTGGAGGTCAAATATTTATTTTTCCAAAAAAAATATAAGCTTTTCCAACATAATTTTTTACAAAAAAAAAAATTATAGTTATAATTTAACAGTCTATACATGTAACATCCTGGCCCAACTTGCCATATATTGATCGCTTTGGGCCTTACCGTTCTCATGGTTTTGTTCCTGGTGACGCAAGCCCACATCTGAGCCTGATGCCCCAAAACACGTATGAAAAGTTGGCAACCAACACTTTTAATAAGGTCAGCTACCACTCCATCATCCATCAATGTGGAATATTACAATCTACCCCTTTAAGGAGCCCGACAATCCTGTCAGTAAAACCGGACAACTAGTGAGGTTAGCTGTGATACCAAATATAACAATCTGGCCCAACATGCCATATATTATCCACTTTGGATCTTATCACCCTCGTAATTTTATTCATAATAACGCGAGCCCACATCTAAACTTGATGCCCCAAAACGTGTATGACAAGTTTGCAACCAGCATTCTTAATAAGGCTAGCTACCACTTTGTCACTTGATAATATAGGATATTACAATACATGTATTCAATTAAATAAAAATCAAAAGCTACATGTACCAATAAATGAAAAAAAAGTGTTAATATTTTTATTCAACTCGGCTAATTGTGGGTTGAATAATTTTTTTAATGCAAAACAATGAATATGTATGTGTTATTAATATATTTTTTAACATCGAATAAAAAATATAATTATGAATAAAAAAATTGATGCTTACATATAATAAAATAAAGATCATATACATTAACAAAGAGGTATGAGATCACCCATTAATTTTTAAGATAGAAAAATAAGACAATGTTAAAATTGCTACAATAAAAAACAATTTACTTTTAGTTTTGTATAATAATTAAAAACAAAAGTGTAAAGGAAAATTACAAAAGAATAAAGAAAAGAACAAAAAAAAATGGTATAAATTGGTTTAGTATAGAGTGATAAATATTTCAAGTGTATAGAATAAAAAAAAATATTTTTCCCAAAAAAAGTGTAAAGAAAAAAACTAAAACAATATTACAAATAGATGAAGATAAGAAAAAAAAAGATTATAAATAGGCCAAGTGTATAGTGATAAAAATGCCAAGTGTATATATATATATATATATAAAATCAAAATCTAAGATTTTTTTCTAAAAAAAAAATATATATTTGTTATTGCTACAGTAAAAAGAAAATAAAAGAAAAAATCAGTTATGTCATTCCTACAATGAAAGAGGGTTTCCTTATAGTATATGTATTTTCTACAAATAATATGTTTTTTCTAGGAAAAAATGTAAAGAAAAAAAAGGTAAAACTAAAAAAATATTACACAAGAATTAAGATAAGAAAAAATGATAATAAATACATCAAGTATAAAATAATAAGTATACCAAGTATAAAGAAAAATAAAATCTGAGACATTTGTTTTCTAAAAAAAAAATTACTAATTATAAATTTGCCACCAGTATAGTATTATAAATTTGCCACCAGTATAGTATCCACTCAACAAAAAAAATAGATAAAAAATCAATTATGCCATTTCTTTTGTGAATCTAAAAACAAATAAAGAATTACACATTTTCACTACTACAATAAAAAATTTAAAATTAAAATCAATTATGTTATTTTATAATAAAAAAGGTTTTCTTTTTAGAATATATACAAGATTTGTTTTCCGATGCTATGCCATGGATCAAGTTATATTTATTTTAATATAAAAAAAATATACAAGCAATAATAACACAACTTAACTAAGTTTAACTTAACAAACACATTGTATATGAAATAAAGATAGCTTGTAGAATGAAAAATAAAAAATATCATAAAATTCAAAGCCTAACAACTTAATCTCAAAAGATAAATTTAAAAAAAATCATTTAATAAAAAAACACCTATGAAAACTCGAATCAACATTGGCTCACTCTACTAATTTTCCATCCACAACATAAGATCGGGATTAAAAAATTTAAATAACCTAAAAAAAGATTAAATTTAAATAAATAAAATAAACTTTGAAAAAAAACCTAAGTCACCCCGAGTTAATTTCATTAACTTACAACCCAAGAACTGGAGGGAAAAAATCAAAAAATAATAAAGAAAGAGTAATTAAAAGAATAAGGACCAAAATTAGATAATAATAAATAAAATATCAAGTGACTAAACTAAGAAAAAAAATTAAAAAATAATAAAATGAGCAATTAAAAAAATAAGGACAAATATGATTAAAAAATAAAATAAAATGTTGAGAGAAACAATTACAAGAAAAATCTAGAAAATGATAAGAAAATAACAATTAAAAAAATAAGGACCATTAAAGAAATAAATGATAAGGGATGAAATTGAAAAAAATAATTAATAAAAAAAAGGGTTAAATACACAAAAAATATTAAAAAAATAAGGACCAAATTGGATAAAAATAACTAAATAAAATAAAATATCTAAGGGTGAAATTTGAAAATTTAACTATAAAAAACATTAAAAGCAAAAAAAATATCATTAAAAAAACAAGGTATAAAATTGATAGAAATGAAATCTAAAAGACACAATTAATTTTGCAAAGGATAGCATGAATTTCTAGGGTAAGAGAGAGAAAAGAGAGAGGAAAATAAAAATCAGTCATTAAAATTGAACCGTACCTCTATCATAAACATGTATCATATCAGTATAAAGAAAACGATGTGTCACTTCAAACATTATCATGAATGATTGATTTTGGTAACTAGACGGCCTCGCACTAATCGCCTGAATGGCACAATGTCGTCACTCATTAATACATATAATTGTTTTAATAATATTTAATTTTATAAAAGTAGCAAAATAATCCTAGGTTAACCAAAAAATACATGTGTGTGTGTGAAAGATGAAAACTCCCTTGAAACCATGCTTATATTCTTTTATTTTAAGGGCATTTCCATAACTTAAATGTTCATGAAAATTTAAAAGATGAAAAGACCTTCTTATGCAAGTTTAATGGTTTTTTTACTTCGAAGAGCATCAATGTAATTTAACCATGTAAATAATATTAAAAGGACAAAAAAGTCCCTAGGACCAAAGGCTTTCATTTTTTTAGTTTTTGAGGGTAACAAAAAAATTTCATTGTGTTAAAAAAATATGCATGAACTAATCTATCCCCAATTAATGTTGTGATGTCTAATATATCTCAATTAAAAGATAATTTTACCCTAATTGCAAGCTTCATCAAATTTTTTTAAAAGGAAAAAAGTATCATTTTATTTTGCTAATATACAGTAAAATGTGTGTTTTACTGATGAATTTTAGCTTTTTTGTAATAATAATTACCAGCAAAAATTCCCTTTCTCGCCTTAATCAACACAAAGAATTTGTCATTAAAGTGTTTCCACAACATTCCATTATTTTCTACTTGCAGATATTTCTCTTTGCTTTATTATACTAGACATAAAAATACTCAAATGATATGAAGGGATTAACTCATGTTCCACTTTGATTATATGATCATTTAATACATGCACCCATTAAAAAAAATAAAAGTAAAATAGTTTAAAAATAATAATTTGAGCAATCCTAATCGTTATGTCTTTTCTACAAGGCAATGAAAGTACAGCGGTTCCCAAGTCATTACAGAAACTACAACTTCCTTGTGAACCATAGAAATCACGATTTCTTGCTTTATCATTATTTATTGAGAGTGTGATTCATTAATGAGAGTATTAATTTTTAAAGTATTTTTTATATTAAAATATATTAAAATAATTTTTTATATTTAAAAAATTATTTTAAAGATTTGTTTTATATTTAAAAAATTATTTTTAAGATTTGTATATTAAAATAATCTGAAATATAAAAAAATTAATTTTAATAAAAAATTAATTTTTTTAAAAGATATGATTTGCACTCCGTTTTCAACGGCTTGAATATCTTTCTACACACGATTTTCCAACTTTATTCTCACGTTCTGCCAATATTAAAAGATTAAATGAAGTCTTCCTGCGCATATTTCACACGATGAATGCCAAAAATGTCATGAAAAATCCATAACAATTTTAACCTTATTAGAATTGTTGAATTTTGTGTGTATGTACTCTTCTGGTTTCCGACGTGTGGAATTTTATACGTTGCTTGTCGTTTAATACGTTCCTTGCCATCTTAAATCTTCTCACTTAACGCTTTGATTTTATTTTTATTTTTTTTGCATTTAACGCTTTAAATTGTCAAATGTAGCAAATGGATTTGGAAGGCAAACTTTGGAACGGGGGAGGGAGTTGGACAAATGCGAGACAAAAAAAAAGAGGAGGCCACCCAAGTTGTCTAGAACGCGTCCTGTCACGCTCAGAAAAAAACAAAAAGTGAACGTACGATAAACGTAGACCACGTGATTATCACCGGCCTAGAGTGTACCACTTACCTATCGTTTTTTTTTTAAATTATGTTTGGATTTATTTTGAAATTATATTTTGTAAATAAATATTTTTTATAATTTTAATTTACTAATATAAAAAATTTTAAAAAATTATATTGATATATTTTTACATAAAAAATATTTTTAAAAATCATTATACATCAAAATACTAAATATACACCCCCTAGTTTCATGGAAATTTTTATTTTGAGATTTTTTCACATCCATTTACTTGATAGATAAAATTAATTAATTTTTTTGAGAAATTTTAAGATAATACACAATTTAAATGATAGTTTTAAAATTTGAGAAAGGGAACAAACCTTTTTAAGTCAACTTATTAATTAGAATTAAAACTACATGATTAATTAGTAATTTAGTATTGTAGATTCTAGTATTATTTTCAGATGTCCCATAGTAATCCAATTGGCCATGCGGCAGACAGAAGAGAGAACCTTTTCCTTTTTTCGTTTTCCTTTCCTTTTCTTTTCAGGCAAAGAGGGGATAGTGGAGAGTCAAAAACATTTAGTGGTCAGCTCTTCTCCTCTCTTTTTTTTGGGTAAAATTCAAGACTTACAATCCTGAAGCTTAAATTAAACAAGGAAGAGCACACTCAACACAATATCGAATATAAATCTATGGGAAGGTCATTAATAATCCAATGATTCCTATCAAAATAATTTTTGAACAATAAAAAATTAGCTAACCAGATTGGTTTACCGAAATACATGTTGTACTTTAACTATAGCATGTAGTTTGCATTCACTTTCATAGATTTGATTGTAATAAAATATATAGCAAGAATATAATCCAACACTAGATTTAACTCACAAATACTCATTGATCTTGCAAGTTTTAAACTAATATTTACCATTTATAGTTCACCTTCAACTAATAAATAAATTCTAGTGTTAATAGCAAAACCAGTAATGCAAATTCTGTAACTATTTTTAAAAACTCTTCTTGCTCCAGTTTTACTCGGATTATCTTTTCTATAACTATTCACATTTAATTTTATCCATCCAATTAGGGATATTTCCAACCAACCATACAAACTTATTTATTTTTATGTAATTGTTAGCTCTCATCTTGCTAGCAACTTTAGTGCTTGCCACAAGACACTAAATCAAAGATTCTCAAGTT